CTCTTCTCTTTCCCAATTATATTCCCCTTTCTTCTTTTCATCTATCTAATCTTCTAGCATGCATTAAACAGGTGTCCTGTTCCAACCAAAAAGTAGATGCACAAAAACCAGGAAAAGTGCCATGTAGGACATGTGAAAACTGAAAGTCATGTTACAGTCATGGAAAGTGTTGATTTCATTTCCCCCCAGATAGTCACAAGTTAAAAAACCAAAATTTGCAAAATCGTAGTACCGTCCTAGATGGCATTTAAGAATTGAGAAGGTGAACTTAAGTTTATGATTTTCTTTATGGTCTGTTGAGGCATGAAAAATTACTTTACATTTAAAACAAATTTTTCTAAGAAATCAGTTATGAATTTAGATGTTTAGGATAACCCTTGGGAAAACCAGCTTGCTAGTAAAGGTAATTTACACTAACAATTATTGGGAAAGAATATAATGGAAAAATACCTACAGGTCACTATTGAATAAGTACACTCCCTCCCCCCCTCAAAATTGACGTTTTAGTCCGAATTAAGCAGAACCCTATCAGTTATTGTTACTTTTACCATAGTACCAACCTACACATTAAAATATTTACATTATACTTCATTATGCATTTTACTCTGAGAAAAAGCAGGGTAGATTAAAAACTTGGGACTTGACGTGTGTGTCTGTGCGTGCGTGTGCACACACATATACACACATACATATTTTTGTGTCTACACATACATAGCTTGTGCTGCACGACGTTCTCTGTATGTATCTAGTCAGAAGGATATTAAGAACAGAATGCGGAGAGTCCTCAGGAAATGCAGGAAATAGGATGACTTTAAATAATTTCAGCAACGAGTACAGGAGTTAGTGGCACCCATGCCATAGTTAATGCACGTCTTATTTTTGTTGAAACAAAACCATGCACGCGAGGCGAGACCTGTTAGACATACGTGTGCGCTGTGCGTGTTCTTTCTAAGTGGGCTAGTTTTGTTCTTGTGCCATGGGAGCAGGTGGCATGAAGCTATTTTGATGAGGCTAAAAGGCTCCTCCCCTCTTTCCCCAAGCAGCAGCCTGAAGCACGTCAGCAGTAATTGTGTGCCCGGCTCTGCTGTGCAGGGCGGGTGGAGGCAAAATTGATATCAAATAAGGGTATCAAACTGAGATGCGGATGTTCCGTTTAAGTTGTTGCTCATTTACATTAGCCATGCCAGGGGTGAAAAGCTTATAACTTAAACATCCTCTGTAGTGAAAACGTCTCTTTTCTGATGGATTTATATTTTTCTTCTTCATACAGGCAGAAGGAGTGCTGTGGTGGATACAAATGAAGGGGTTTCTGTATCCTCTTTTCGTTTTATTATTTACTAATCAGGCTTTAGCTCAGGTAGATAAAAGAGAGAGGTTCTATTGCCTAGATGGGAGGCCTTTAATGACAATGGGGGGCCCCAGGGAGCCGAAATCCGAAGTAGAACGATGATGCTTTCGGGTTTCTTGTCATTTCTTCAGTTGCGTCTTCCCCTCCTTTTTCCAATGGGCCTAGTGAGCAGGAACTGTCCAAGGTGCTAGAATGCCGGCAGCTCGGCCGTTCAATGCAGGCGGATCGCAGAAAGAGAGACGAGAGATTACTGCTTATTTCAGAAGGTAGGTTCTTTGTTTCAGAATCCCTGATTAATCAGCAGCAGCATCAACAGACTAAGGCAGCTGGAGAGGAGAGAGAGAAGCAGGAGGGAGGGAGTCAGGGGCAGGGAGGGAGGGAGGGGAGAGAGAGAGAATGAGAGAGAGAGAAAGAGAGAGAGAGAGAGAGCGCGCGAGCGCTGGTTGTCACGGGGGAGGGACCATGCCACAAGCTAGGCTGCTCCAAACCTTCTGTATGTAAGTGGCAATGAGAAAGAGCATCTTTTTGGCTGAAAGGGGACATTTAGAGAGGATGTTGCTGATTTTTTGTTTTCATTTATTTTTGTCTTTACAGAATATAATCAAATGAAGCACCTTAGCCAGCCTGGGTGATTGTTTCGAGTCTTGTAATCATCTGGGTAGCAAAGTGGGTAAAAACATTCAGTTTCTTCCCTGCTGGACCTGGAAGGAGAGGGGCTGTGTGTTCATCCCCACCCATTAGCTATGCCCTCTTTTCTCTGAATGTCGATTTCAGGAAGCAAGCACCTGTCTTCTGTCACCGTGTCTTCCTAGAAAACTTTAAAGGCCATTTTATCTGATAGGAAGAACATCAAGAATGCTCTGATCTGTAGTGATGAAGAATCTGGGAGTGGACACTTTTCCCATCCAGATACAATGCACTTTAATTGAAGAAAAACTGAGCTGAACTACAAGCCTATTTGTTATGGTGCTGGATTACTCCTACAGAAGTGCCCTGAGATCAACCGCGAGCGAGGGCTCTGACAGACACGAGTCACCTTTCTGATCATTGCACTTAGCTCTCCCTGGGGACTTACATTTTGGTATGTATCTCATTTTTCACATTCTCTAAGCATGCTAATTAAATCCAGCACTAAATAGATCAAGCAATCTGGTTGTGAAATGGAATGGGTTTTAGCCGGGGATACTTAATGCTGAAGTTTGCATGTCTTATTAGGTGGAGTAGAAATAAAGCCACAGCAAAGGCGTTCAGGGCATTCATGAACCTCAGGCTATTTTGTATCTTCTTACCCACTTAGTTACATTACCACAGAAATGGTTAAACTACATTGCCATTGGTAAAATAAGCCATGATGAATTATTAAAAGCATTGAAAATATTTTCCAGGGTATTAATTGGCATTCATATTGTGCATGCTAGCTATTTATCTGCCATTCCATATCATAAATATTTTACAACAGTCTCTTAGCACATTTGTGTTTGCCCAATGTTATGTCCCCCCCCCCAAAGAAAAGACACAGCACCTCCCAATGAAATGCAAGCTATTAGACAGACACCAAAGCTGAAACTGCTTCTTTCTTACTAGTTAGACATAAACCTTTTTCAGAAACATATATGTTTAATACCACTTAATATCAGGAGGATTTCATTAGTGTCATCATAATAAATATTTTCTGTTAAACTTTTTAGGTGGACTTGTTTTACTTGGGACACACACTTATTTTGTTGGGGTGTCTCTGTTCTAATTTTTCCAACTACCAGCACTATTTTAAACACATTAAATGTAGGTATTTCAAACCCAGAAGAAATGTTACATGAAATAATATTACTCATTTTCATTAGAAAATCCTAAAGCTGTTCTGGTACCAAAGAACTGAGATTTTTTTTATCTAAATACATTCTCAAAATAAGGGAATCCAATTGAAGAGTTTACACAATGTACTTTTGGTCATTTTAACATGCAGGAATTTATAACCAAGTAGTGTGGAACAATTATAGAGCACAAGTGAAAATTAATGCCTTTCCTAATTCTTCATAGTTTAAACAATGCTCCAACTTATTTTCTATATTGTCAAGTAGTTAACAAATTAATATGATAAAACGTAAGCCACACGTGCTGAATTTTTCCCCCCTGTGGAAAGTGCAACATATGTTTGCCAATTCAGCAAAGAAGTGGACTCTGTGAAAGAAATTGACAATTTAGAAAATTAATGATAACAGACTTGAGAAAAAAATATTACAGCTTTACAAGGAACTAAAGAGAAGCCCAAGGACTTGAAGCATCTGTAAACTTTAGAGGGAGAAGTATAAAAATCCTAGACACTGGAAGATTGACTATTGTTTGAAAAACACAAGTATGTCATGAACTCCCAATTCAATTAGATGGTTTGCATTGTAGCTCCAGTCAGCACTTTAGTATACTGACTATATCTGCTTTGCAAATGATGCCTTACAAGCTTCTGGAAACATTTGGCCAAAAGCTCAAAAAAGTACCTCAGCCATTGACATTTTGTGTGAATCCCTAATATTAGTGGAAATGTACAATCTTTTTGCATCACGGGCAAATAGCACCATGACAGCCTGGAAGCTGGGGTGGAATTTGTGATTTATGATGCTTCTACATTAACATGATCTATGCCCATTTTACCCATTTTGGGAAGGGAAATAGTGGAGACAAACTCACTCCAAAGTAATCTGTTTTCTGAGGGGGAAAAAAGCAATCAGTGTCTTTGTAGTCACTTCAACAAGCTCTTTTGGTTTTAACTCTAACATTTCCCATTTTGTTCAGAACAGCTGCATTTTGATGACAGTGAGAATGGGAAACTGAGCATGACAGTTTGTGGGGTCGAGGGTAGGATTTCCAGGATAATCAAAGTGAAATTGCAGGACTGAATGTTGACAAATTATATACAAGATTTTATCAGAAAAACAATTTTGATGTGGTTTACATGGGTTGTGGATTTTGTCTATTCTGTTGATTTTGTCCTATGTGAAGTCAGCAAATTTTAGGAATTAATTTGCATGCATATTTACATATGTATGTGAATCATGATTATTTAAGCTCTTACATTTTAACAATGTGTTTTCAAATTGGTCTGAGTACATGCAAAAAAAAATGTAAAAGACCTTTTTTCTCCTGCTGAACAAAATAATAGTCAAAATTGCATTGGGGAACTTTCACTTGTATGAATCAATACTACTGGGCAAATTGGGATTCTCTATCTCAAAGGAGATGCAGTGCTGAGTGGGAGGGAAAATCAAATTCTAATAACTCAAATTGTAATAACTTCCTCATAGCATTGAGACAGGTGTGGTTTGAAAACCTCAGCAACAAATAAGAGGTGGAGACTAGAAAACTTCCCACATGCAAATAAAACAAAATACATAAATGTGAAATGATGGTAAATGTCTAAGCTTTCCACCAGGAGGTTTAATCCTACTATGTATTTTGTTTTTCCCAGATCACACAAATACCATTATAATAATAGCATGAAATAAACTTTACCTTATTATAGATAGGTTAGCTTCTAGGGTTGGCTGTGACTTAAAATTTAAGAAGCTTCTCATAGAGCTTCAGGAAATGGGGAGCAGTTCTCTCCCAAACAAGTGGTTTTTCTTCCTCTACCACCCAGTGATGTGCAGAACAACTGGATTAGCGGAGATTTTGCAACTTGTCCTGGAAAACCAAACTTTTAGATGGAGAACAGCTCTATTTCAAAAATCCTGAGTTAATACTTTAAGAAGAAAAAAAACAAAAAAAGAACCAGCACCCATGAAGGCCTGTGGACCAATTCACAGAGGATGCTGGTGTACTGGAACGCTGCTTTTGGAAAACGGTGATAAATGATTCATAGGAAGGTTCTGCCTGAGAAGTGTGTGTACACAGCTGCCTGAGTCCATCCTTATGGGGCTAGAGTGTTTGATGTCACAATGCATGAAATTACACTAAAGGAGAAATTTGTTCTGAATTTTAAGAAGAGGAAAGAAATGCTTTAACATGTATGAGAATATGCATGCTTAATATTTATCTGATCCTTTTGCTACATCTTTATTTCAACAACAGCTTGTAATGAATATAAAACCCTTTATACAATGGGGAACCCAATCTTGACATCAGCTAGTGCCACATTAAGTAAGCTTTGTTAAATTGAGGCCACACAAAATTGATACCTTAATTTACAAAAGGCATAACCCATGTATATGTATGATCTTTAAGTTTTTGCCTACACGTATTTCCCAAAAATGTGAGCTTTTTTTTTTGGCTTTAACACACAAAGTCATGTAGTGTTTCAGCTTCTTGAATTCCTTGCATGCAAGTAGTGGCTACAGAAAGAGAAAAAAAGGTGAATTTTTTATGCTTCCATGGGTTCCATTTTATATTCTTATGTATATTTTATGTTCCACGTGTCTATATACTAAATGGTTTTATTCCAATGGAAACATTTTTTTTTAAATGTAACACTGCTTTCAGCTCCAGGCTCAGCATTGGAAGGTATAGTGATGGTTTTATACAAAAGAACATAAAGAAATGGTTAATTCAATAATAAATTAAGTGCCTGGTGCTTTAAATTTAACCGGAATTACACCAGTGTAAATTGGTGCATCTTAGTTGAGTAGAGTGAAATTTCAAATTTTGGGAAGTGTCACAATATTATGCAAAGTTATCTTTAGGAAGGGCGTGGTTAACAGGAACTAAATTTAAAAAGTGAAAGAATAAAATTAAAAAGCATGAAAAATTAACCACCCAGTTGTATTTAAGCCAAAATATGAAGCTTCTATAAGAATGGCAATGATTTTAAATATAGTAATCCAGAAATTAAACAAAAGGAATCTTTTACAAATGCAGAATCCAGTGGTGAAAAAAAGGAGTAATGCGAAGACATGGCTACCTGTGATCTGTAATGGAATTCTGATCTCAGTCATTTTATGGGTTTTCTCAGGGGAGTCCCTGACACACATTTTACGTATTGGCCACAACGTCCGAGGAAAAGAACACACTCACATAAGCCTTACACTGTTTGAATCACTACTATGCTTTCCAAATAAAACATATTTTCCTGTGGGTGAAGACCACAGATGCCAGCTTTCAACCAATGCTCGGGGAGGCAAAGGGAGTTCAAATGTTTAATTTGTTGTGAGCAAGGATGGCTGCAGACACGTACAAGCTCAAATGAAAGGGCTGCATGTAGAAATGCAAGGTTTTCCCTTCAATCTCACCTACTCTGTTGTCATAAATAATCTGAGGTCTAGTAAGGTAGTTTGATTGATTGTGATATATCTAAAGATGCTACCTGAGCGAAAGGGCCCATTTGTTTCTGAACTATGGTCTTCTAAGATGCCGACTTTAGGAATAAGAGGTTCAAGACAAGCCTTCATAAAATGCTTGTATATAGAATTTTCAGCCAAGGGCCAGAAGAGAACTTGATTTACAATCTCACAGTCAAAACACAGCCAAGTTTTTAGTGGTTACAAAAAATACCTAATTCAATAGCTATCTTAGCCATAAATATAAATTTCTGAAAGATAAACAGATGTATGACCACACTTGTCTGTGGGTTCTCACTGCACAGGAGTGGTAGCAGTTGGAATGAGGTAGGCAGACACTTAACATATAGTTCACTTTTGTTCACTGTTCAGTTGCCTGAGAAACAACTTTTGGCTTATAAGGGTGGAGTCTGAAAGTTCAAGAGATGGGATGAGCTTGGTGATTGATAAGTCCCAAAACTTTTATTTTCTAGATGTGGAAAATGGGCAAGATGGATAAAAGACCTGTCTAATGTTGTGACTAATAATTACAGTCACAGTTATTGAAAACATATACATTTTAACTGAATCATCACAACAAACTAAGGAGGTAAATACTATTCCAACCACCATTTTGAAAACGTGGAAATTCAAACTTAAAGAGGTTAATTAACTTGCACAAAGTCAGAGATCTCTGGGTGGTTTAGTTGGCATTTTGAGGCCATACTGCTCAACTTTTCAGCTATGCCTTTCAAGACTGCCTCCTTTACCTTAAAAACTAGCTTTCATATTAGTTAATTGCTAGGATCAAAGTCCATTTTTCTTTTTGAAGACTAGATATAATTTTTCAAAAGTTTTTTTTTGTTGTTCATTCTCAAAAATGGTGACCATAAACCATGACAAACGAATGAATGTCATCACTGCCACCTCAATTAATGCCCTTGTTACACTGTATTGCAATTGTTGATTCATTATGCATCTATATTGCAGTGTGAGGGTCTAGAGGAACATAATTCTGTCTTTATCAGTGCCTCATTCATAACAAGTGCTCAAGAAATACTCGAATAAAAAAATTGATTGTAGAAGCAAACATTTCTCTAGAACTAGACTACCTAAGCATGCACTAAAGTTTTACTAGATTTCGTGGTTGATTTTCACCTCTCAATTTTCAACTTAGTTTCAAAAAATCTTATAATACAACTTTTCCATAGCATAAATATTTTATGATATCATTATTTAATGTTTTCTCAGAATAATTTGAAAGACCATTTAGTAACAGTACATTTTCAGAGGTACACAATGAACCTTGTTAATGTTTGGAATATATTAACTGTATAAAGAATCACTGGTGTCATTTGGATGGGAGGGAAACTTAAGGGAAGAAATAAAAGCCTGTGGGTGATGCCTTACTCATGGGAAATATACAGTTTTGCTCTAGGGCAATGTGGGAGTGATCATCTTTCACCCTGAGGCATTACTTCTAGAATCCTTGTAACACTGACTTGGCTTGCTTAACTATGGTCGAATTAATTGCCATAAAGTTATGCAGATCTTTTTTTACCCAGGCACACCTAGTGCTGAAGCCCTTGGTAGAAGGGAATTTTAAACAATGGCAATGCTTTAGTTCTCTGGGAATTGTGTTCTTATATGTTTTTCTCCCAAATTGCAATTCTCTATAAACCATTAATTTTCTATTCCTCTGTGTGTCCACCACTTAAACATCTAATCTGATGGACCGATATTAAAATATGATTCAATTATGTTATATAGTTGGAATTAAAAGACTATTTCATTTGTCAACCCATTATGGATTCAAACCAAACCAAACATATTGCAACTTAACATAAAAAAAAATCATGAGTCAACAAATAACTTTTCATATCCTCTAGTTTCAACAATTTCATACAGAATGGGGAATAAATATATCCTTAAATTCAGAGTGAATTTCCAATAACGTATGGATTGACTGGCAGCTAAAATGCTAATAAACTGTGATAAGAAGTGAAGTTTCCATAGTTACAACCCAGGTTATGGAACATGATTATACTTGTAAAAAAATCAGAATAAAATGATATGTAATGGTGGAAATGCAAGTCAATGACTTCAACAAATAGTTGGGCTGATATTTTTAAAATATCTTTTGGAGACATTTGAAGATAATAAACAGATGCAAAGGTAATTTATAATTTTTAAATGGCCACATATTTCCCCTTGCTAATTGATTTTGCTTTAGGTTTTCCAATGTGCCTCAATTATACCACTTCCCTAGGCTAGCTGCTACAGCGAATATGCAATTGAGGACACTAAGCCTTATTAAGCGAGAATGGTAACATACTTATCTTGTATGTAATTCATTAAACCTCAGTTCTAGTTTTGATTGATTAACGCACAATTTCTTTATCCCCTGGCTTTATTGATTCCTGTGATTTGTTGGATACCTCTACTTCAAGGCAGGCTGATTTTCCTAACCTGCTGGTTATCCATCCCCCATTCATTTACATACATATATACATTTTCCATTACTATTGCTGCCAATCTTCCTCCTACACTTTTATTAAAATCTCTACTAGCTAGCATTACTATGTGCTTACTATTATTGAACTCTGTGCTAAATTCTTTACAATCATCACCTCTCTTCATCTTCACATCAGCAGGAGGTAGGAGAGATTATTTCCTTCATTTTATAGGTGAGTGCTGTGTGTATTGGGTGAAAGCCCTCTGTTGTTGTTTTGATTTGATTTTGGTTTTCAGTAATCCTTTTTGTGCCTGAGGTTCTTAAACCTTCATGTTGCAATGATAATCACAGTTGTCACTGCCTGAATTACCAGACTGGTCAGGATTCACATGGTCCTGGCGATCTTTGATATTTGAGTATGGCAGCAAGGCATTAGAGAGCACCATTTTGAAAAATAATGGAGGGTCCACAAGAGATTATTGCCAAGACAAATTATGTTATAAATTTCTGTTTCCTTGATGACTGCTATATCCTTCATGAATAATTTAGATTCCTAAACTTAATTCAAAATTGTAAAAAAAAAACACACACACAATGAGAAAGTTTGTTCCAAGTAATTATTTTATTTGAAATTGAACAGAAAAGTCTTAATGGTGAGCAGAAACAAATGAAGCTTGGATCTGCTATATCTTGTTGTTATAAGAACACATTTTTGAGGAACAAAGTCATAACTCTAATTACATAAATCAAATGTTTACCTTCGCCCACTAAATTTATTTGTACCTTTATGTTACCTGTCAGTCCAAAAGAGTTGACCTCTGTCCTGCTAATTTTGTTTCTCTGGGGGAGTGTTTGCTACCCAGGCCAAATTCATTTAATATTTACTTTGAATAATCTGATGACTTATAATTTCTAATGAGACATTGTCTCCAAATAGAGTCTACCATAATCCTTGGAATTTGGGACTGACAAGATATTAGGGAGAATAAACAGCACCTTGCTTTTATCTCCACACTTGATAAAGGTAAAATGTGTTTTCTTCCTACAGGAAGTGTTCCTTTTTACATGATATCCTCCAAGATGATGAGTTCTAATCCAGAGGAAGACCCTTTGGACACATTTCTTCAGTATATTGAGGATATGGGGATGAAGGCTTATGATGGCTTGGTTATTCAGAATGCATCAGACATCGCTCGAGAGAATGATCGCTTGAGAAATGAAACAAACCTGGCCTACTTGAAGGAGAAGAATGAAAAACGCCGAAGACAAGAAGAAGCAATAAAACGGTAAATATAAATAAAAGTATTCTGAGTGTTGTGCACAAGAGGAAATCTGTGGGTTTTGTAAAGGATGTGATGTCACCAGGTCAAAAAGGGGATTGTCAAAGATTGACTCAATGGGACCAATTGAAAATGGCACCCAACAATAATAAAAACACAATGCATCCTACTGATGGGATCCTCACCTTAGCTACAGAAGTTATTTACTTATGTGTTGTGCATGTGGAGGTCAGATGGGAGGGGAAATAACTGACTTTCCTGTAAACAAAAGTTCATGTTGAACAATCTCTTGATAAAAGCCCAAGAGAGTAGATAAACACTTTAACAGCCAATGTTTGATGAAAATCCCCACCTTAATGGTCCTTGTTTATAGTTCTTACCTTATGATACAGTTCAACTTCTCCCTCAATTATAAAAAAAAAACAAAAAAACCACAACTCATCAGTAATTAGAATCATGTAAGTGTATGAAGGCACGTGGAACCCTCTGGGTGTGCTCTCTGTGCAGCACTTTATGGCTATTACAGCTCTTATATAAGTATCCCAGGTTTATTCAAATAAAATGCTGCGAAACTACAGTAAGTGACTTTTATGCTGCAAAACCCACAGCTACAAGTGAGTGAGCCTTAGACTGCAGCTTCCAAACTGAGGCTAAGTTTCCTAAGGCACTGAGACCAAAAGAAGGATACACATCTTTAGATTTTTCAAAAGAATGTTGCAGTGCTTTCAGTGTGTATGGGGGGTGGTATTTTAAGGGGTACAGGTAGATACATGTGTTGAATGGAGTCCTGTTTCTTCAATAGAGTCAATTTACAAAGTACAAAGATGCAGAGTTGAGAGAATTAATCCGTATCTATTAGCTGGATAATTGAATAGTAATAGTGAAGGTATTTTGACAATTAGTTGGCAAATTTTCATCAACTCTGACTTGCTTACTTTTGCTTACTCTATGTGAACATTGTGATATTAAGAAAAATGAATTATTACTTTATGATGAACTATTTATTCTTATAAAGTAGCTAGGTGGGTATGCACTACTTCACTCATTTAATGACACATAATTTTACATGAGAGGGTGGACCGGAAGAGGGAGGGAGATTTAGAAGGAAAATAGAAATTAGTTTTGTGGAGGATTATTTTTTTTCCTCTGGACTATTACAATGGAAAGCTAGTCTTTACCTGGTATAAAAATGATTGTAAAGTTGCATACTGGATAAACATGTTCACTAGTCATATATGTATACTTCAATTAATTTGTTGTTGAGAACTATGTTATTTTTAATTCTACCTAACTTTAGTTGGTATCAGATTTCTTTCTAAGATACACTAAATGTCCTTTCTTAGGACAATTTTTTTTTCCTGTGAAGTATATCTGATGGGCTTGTATGTGCATGTGAGCAATTTATTTTACTTTTATGAGTCTACGTTTTTAAAATTCAAAACCAAAAAGGATAGGATACATCATTCCTGAAAAACTTCAGCTCTAACATCTAAAATTTCCCAATCATGCATTAAACCTCAATGATTCACTCCTTTCTATAAACATATAAGCAGAATTATTTTCTGAATAGTTTCATTAGATTTTACCAGGCACCCACAGTGTGTTTCTCACTGTACTATTAGCTTCTGTGTTTCATCAACAACCTTCAGGAGATTTCTGTCTAAAGATTCATAGATATTGTGAAAGCAAAAATGGCTCATTTTAGGTGGTTTACTGTCAAGTGTTCAAAGGGACATAACCAACAATTTCAATGAAGTCTAAAGACCAAGAAATGGAAGCAGGAATTTAGGTAGTGGGGGTAGCAGAACACTGTGAGTGGGGTCCAGGAAATTCAGTTATGTGAACTTTGATTTGGTTCCTGCTAGATTAGTAAAACAATGTTTTTCTAGAATTATGTTAGAGAGCATAAAAATAAGGATAGTTCAGTTCACACATTTATTGAAGAAGTCTCAAATGACCTGGAGACATTTGTTTTCACGTCACCCCTCAGCATAAGTTAAAACTTTAATTTAGCCCTGTTTGTGGATAGAGCAAACAATAGGAGTAAGTCAGCTACTGTGTGTGTGTGTGTGTGTGTGTGTGTGTGTGTGTGTGTGTGTAACCTATATCAATGGTTTATTTGAAACAGTTCTTCTGAGTATGAGGGTTCCTTTTGCATCAAATGAGTATAGACTCATATATACCTTTTTATAATTAGATTAGGAGAAAAATGGAGAACCCATTGGTAGCAGGAAGAAGCAAGAGTCTTCTACAGTCCTGCCTTTGATAAGATAGGTATTCATTTACTCTGCATTGTTTCCAAGGCAGAACGTACCAGAAAATGCATGCCTGAAGTCAGGTTACCCTTAGGTTCCATAACTATGTTGCTAGCAGGGCTACTGTTGCCACAGTGGTTGGTGTTATCTACACGAGGGTAATAAAGCTTTGTGCTTTATGTCGGAATGACCTAGTAGTAATAGTAGTATTTTAGATGATAAAACCATTCAGAATTTATTATCATCTATGCCCATACTATCCCTAGGTATGTGTACAGTTGAAGAATAAGCCAACTTTTCAGGCATGGGGACACCAATGAGAGGTAAACAGACTTGCAGGTCCTAGGAAAGTTGGCTTATGTTCAAGTTGAATTCTGAACCCACACCTGAAGGAAAGGGTAAGGCAGAGAGACTTTAATCCTGGAAGCAAGGAAGGACACTGAACCAAGTGAGATAGTTAGGGCACCTCTCACCTGAGGTCAAAGCGACTAGATGCAATTAGCAAACAAGGCACACAATATGTGACACGGCAAGCTATAATGTAGATTTCATGAGAAGAAGTACTCTCTTTTTCTATACAGATGTTGAATAGAATCTAGAGCCTAGGCATTGCTCAATAAACACTAGCTGTTAAGTCTATTCATTGATTGGAGGAATATTTATTAAAATGTTGCTAAATGTCAGGCAGTGTTCTAGACCTTGATAAGATGGCAGTGAGCAGAACAAAGTTTATTGTTACAAGGGAACTACAATCTGAGAGAAGGGTAAAGGAGACACACAGGAAACAAATAAGCATGTATAAATGTATGAGACAGGTGGTAATAATGTTTTACACTGTAAACCAAAGCAGGGTCAAGGAGATTAAACACCGAGGCCAGGGAAGGCCTCCGAAAGCAAACTACTTCTGAGCAGAGATGTGAGATATTGGCAGCATCCCACCAGCAGTGCGAGCCACAGGGCTACCTGCAGGGAGAAATTTAGGAGGGGGTCACAGCAAGCAGTGATGTGTTCCAAAGAGGACAAGGTGTCACATAGTGATCAAGGCAAAGATTGGGAGGATGCAAATTCAGACTGGTAGGGGGCCACCAGGGAATTAGAGCCTGATAAACTATTATGTTTTATTCTGAAGGAGAAGAACCTTCATTGAAGATTTTTGAACAGAGGTGTGGCATGCCCTGACTGAACATTTTATAAGGTTTACTGTTTACTGTGTATTAGCCAGATGGATGAGGCGTAGGTGAATGCAAGAAATCCAGAGAGGAAGCTTTTGCAATAATTTAGGCAAGAAATGATGGTGGTTTGGACTAAGATGGGAACAGTAAAGGTGGCATAAAATGATCAAATTATGGGCCTCATCAGAGTTTTCTGATTGATGAGATGTAGGAGTTGAGTAAGAGAAGGGAATTGAAGATGGTTCTCAAGTTTGTTTTGTTGCGGATTTTTTTATGTTATTGTTACATCGTGTTTTGTTTCGGCTGAACAACTAGAAAAATGGGGATTCCACTTAATGAAATCATAAAAACTATAAGAGGAGTAGGTTTAGGTTAAATAGTGTGGAAATAGGAGCTCAGCTTCCCCATGCCAATTTTGTAAGCCCTTTTAGATATCCAAGTGGAGAATTCTGGATAGGCAGTTGGATCTGGGACTCATGGTGGAGATCACAGCTGGCGGTATAAATATAGGAGTCATATTCTCTAGGTTTCTCGGCCTTGGGCCTAGTTGAGAATACCTAGGACCTAAAAATAGATAGAGGTGACCAAAGCAATCACGACTGTTTTTCGGGGCACCTGACGGCTTACATGATAGGAACAGTAGAAGAGCCCAGTAAGTACAGCCAGGGAGAGAGAGAAGAACCACAAGAGGGTGATGCCTCTGAGTGAAGTGACAGAAGTGATTAAAGAAGAGAGAGAGAGTGATTTGACAGTGACAGCAAATATGGCGAAGCTTGAGAACTGACTGACACCTTCTGCCATGTTGGTATTACTGACAAGAACAATTTTGGGAAAGGTTGGGGGAAAAACTGACTGGGATTGTGTTCATAAAAGAGTGGAAAGAAAGGAATTGAACCAATATATAGGGAACTATTTTGAGGACATTGGGGTTAAACATTTTTCAAAAATATGAAGGGTAGCTGAAGGGGAACGTGCGATTTATGGTGAAAGTTTATTTTTCTATTTTTTTTCTTTAAGAAGACAGAAAAACAGCTTATTTAAAATACTAATATGTATGATCACAATAGAAGGGGAAATGCTAGTAACTTAGGAGAAGGTAGAAAATTACTGTCATTATGTCCTTGAGTGGGTAGGAAGGGATGGGACCTAATGTTATCTTAGAAGCACAGATTGCTGGGCCATCATAAGAGAAGGGATTGCACAATGTATGGGTGACTGAATGATGAATAAATGAATGACTAACCCTGCATGAAAAGGCCCCAAACCTGGCTCATCATACACCAAACACCATTTAATTATTGTACCCATAGTTGTTATATGTGATAAGAATTGAAAGATGTAGTATATACGAGGTCCGACAGTTAAGTTTGCAAACTTTCCACCACACATAGTGGAAAGTTTGCAAACTTAATTGTCAGACCTCGTATCTTGCCGTCAATAACTCTTCACACTACTTCTTATACCCTTTCCCCAAATATGTTTCTGGAACCCTAATTTAAAGTGCAGATGTCTTTGGAAGGGAAAATATACTAGTAAGGCCTGCTAAATTGTGGAGACTTCTCAAATGTCTTTCATTTTC